AGCAGCAGAGTAGCATAGCGCAAGGGCAGATGTCTTCACTGTGTCTGGTTGTGATCCCCAGGTTGTGCCAGTCAGCTTTCGTATGATATTGTTTCTAGCGCCCTCTTTTTGCTTGATGTTCAGGCAGTGCTTCTTGTAGGTCAGAGCACGGTCCAAAGTGACTCCCAGGTATTTGGGTGGTGCAATGCTCCAGTGGGATTCTTCCCAGGTAATCCTCAGAGCTCGGGATGCTTGTCTGGTTAGGTGAAAGGCACATGTCTGTGTTTTAGATGGATTAGGGATCAGTTGGTTTTTTCTGTATTAGGCAGTAAGAGCACCTAGAGCTTCGGATAGCTTCTGTTCAACCGTCTCAAAGCTCCCTGCTTGAGTGGTAATGGCACGATCATCAGCATAGATGAAACTCTCTGTTCCTTCTGGCAGTGGCTGGTCATTTGTGTAGATGTTGAACATGGATGGAGCAAGCACGCTTCCCTGAGACAGGTCTCCCAGGATGATCTTAGGTTACGAGGTGGGACGTAGAGGCAGATGCGTTCAGACAAGTAAGCCGGGCCAGAACCGTATAGAGTTTTATAGGTCAAAACCACCACTTTGAATTGAGCTCGGAGTGGATAGGCAGCCAGTGGAGCTGACGTAAAATAACACCCTCCAAAACTAAACCAAAGAAAACATCTTCAGTCACCTCGTTGAATGCTTTTGGTAAATTAGAAGCAACAAATTACTAAAGTATCATTGCAAAAGCGTGAAATAATGATTCATTATGGCTTGTGTAACATCTAACAGTCCTTGATAAGGCTCCCTTTGGGCCACATTGGCGAAGCTTTGGAGATGTTTCTGCTCTTTGTGTGTATGCGCGTGTGCCTTGATTTGCTATGTTAATCTTTTCTTCTTGGCTTCTCAACTTCTCTCTGCTTCTGTTGCTAACCACATGAGAAACCAGGGGGAAAAATATCCAAAAATGCTATGTAGAAAACTGGTTTTTATTATCAAGAGCACAGTTCACCTCATTTCCTTTTAGAACTTGAGTTTCAGTGAAGAATTGCATAAGGAATATACGTCCCTCTTCCCTTGGGAGGAAATTGAGCGGCAAGTGATTTTTCTGAAATCCTGCCAGACTCTTTACTCAAAGGGGCTTTTTGTTGCTCTTCCTGGAGACCAGGAAGGTCAGGTTTTTGTGTTGGAGCAGTTATCCTATTTAACGCTGGTGAAGCATCAGGTGCCACTTGAGTAGTCATGCAGGAAGGCCATGAGGGAGGCAACAGGTGGATCAGAGGGTGATGGAGCGGGTGCACTGGATGTCCATGAAGGAAGGCAATGAGCACAACAGAACTCTTCCAACATGGTTTTGATCAAATTGATAGCATCGTGGATTGGAGAAGGGAGCAGAGCTATATCTGGTGCTTGCCAGCTTCTCTCATGAGAGGGGCATTGCGCAAGGAGTTACTGGGTACCTTGGACAATATCAGAAAAAGTATTTAAACTTTTAAGTGTCAATTACAAAGAAAGTTTCAACCAATCTGCTCTGCAAAACAGTGTTGCCCAATCTCCCCCGTGTCCCAATCCATAGGAATAGTGCCTGTGGATTCAGAAGTAATTGGCTATTTCTCTGAAGGTCTTGGATACAGATGATGATGCTTTCCCCTCTGAGATTAAATACAGGCACATGGCTTGTATATATTAACCTTTATTTATCTCTGATCAGTATAGCAGTTTCCAAAAATCTGTTAGACCTGAGCATAAATCAGAGCCGGGCTTTAGCACAGCTGGTTAATCACGAGCAGCAATGCAACTTACCAATTGAAAGGTTGACAGTTCAAAGCCTGGGTCAGGGTGAGCCCCTGACCTTCAGCCCAACCCAATGTTTATTTATTTATTTATTTACAGCTTTTATATTCCGCCCTTCTCGCCCCACAGGGGACTCAGGGCGGATTACAGTGTACACATATATGGCAAACATTCAATGCCAATTTTGACATACAAACATATACAGACATACACAGAGGCTATTTAACTTTTTCTGGCCGCCAGGGGAGCTGTCGCTTTCATCGTCCATCTGCGACGCTGATGAAGCACTTCCGCATTCCCCGCATGCTTCCCCGCTGGAATGCTTTGCTGGAGTATTCTTTATGGCCTCATAAATCAGTTAATTTAGCCTCCCCACACTTTAAGGTGGTACCTAATTTTCCTACTTGACAGATGCAACTGTCTTTCAGGTTGCAAAGGTCAACAACAGGCTACACACAATTGTTTGGAGACCCACTCCAAACTGGGCTGGCTTAAATGTTCACCTAAGCAGTTCAAAAACAGCGGTGAGCTGTGAGAAGAGAAATTAGGCACCACTTCAATGGGGAGGTATTTTATGGCACCATATAAGAAATAACACAAAAGTGTCGGCAATCAAAGAAAGGAGGACATCTTTAATCAAGGCTCTTTGTCACAGAGCAGTGTTTTTCAAAAAATGGCAACATAATACCTCTATCTGTTGTCTGTCCTATCTGTTTAACGGCATTGAATGTTTGCTGTGTATGTGTTCTTTTTTGTGTGTGTCAGGAGCGACTTGAGGAACTGCAAGTCACTTCTGGTGTGAGAGAATTGGCTGTCTGCAAGGACGTTACCCAGGAGATGTTGCCCTGACATTTTACCATCATAGCTTCTTTCATATCCCCGCATGAGAAGCTGGAGCTTCTGTGATGCACCCTGAGTCCCCTTAGGGTGAGAAGGGCAGAATATAAATGCTGTGAATGAATAAATATATATGTATTGTCGAAGGCTTTCATGGCCGGAATCAATGGGTTATTGTAGGTTTTTTCGGGCTATATGGCCATCTTTCTAGAGGCAGTCTATCCTGACGTCTCGCCTGCATCTATGGCAAGCATCCTCAGAGGTAGCGAGGTCTGCCGGAACCAGGCAAAAGGGTTTATATATCTGTGGAACGACCAGGGTGAGACAAAGGACACTTCTCTGCTGTAGTTAGCAGCAAAATTGCAACAGCACAACAGCAGAGAGGAAGCAGGCAGGGACATCTAATTACCTCTCAACAGGGGTTTGCCCCAGGCACAGTCAGGCCATTATATGCTAATCAAGGTGGTCAGTTGAAACATTCACACCTAACTTCAGCAGACAAGGGTCCTTTGTCTCACCCTGGTCATTCCACAGATATATAAACCCTAGTTCCTAGTTCCAACAGACCTCACTACCTCTGAGGATGCTTGCCATAGATGCAGGTGAAACATCAGACCATGGCCATATAGCCCGAAAAAACCTACAACAACCCGGAATAAATATATAAATAAAACCATGCCTCTGTACAGGGCGGTCTCCCTAAATATACCCTGGCGATGCCACTGTTTTCTTGGGGTCTGATTAGCCCAAACACCACTTCCTCTGAGGCATGCGGAAGGCTGCATGAGCAAAGCCACATGGCCTGAAAAACCAAATGAAGCAACGGTAACCGTGCAACTTTCTCTTTTGTTTCACCCCTTCTTCCGTACAAAAATGGGACTTTAGTTTAAACTCAAATTAAACAAATTAGACCAATATGGTCTATGGGTAGTGAAATCTCTCCCATCTCTTTGAAGATTGACTTGAGCCATGCAGCCATAAAGCTTGCCCATTTGCAACATGGTTATGAAAATAATAATAATAATAATAATAATAATAATAATAATATAGCATTTTTACCCCGCCCTTCTCAACCCCCCGGAGGGGGGACTCAGGGCGGCTAACAGAGGCAGCAATTTGATGCCACAAATCAATAACACAGTATAAAACCATAAATACATAGAGTTAAAACAATAGCAATTAATTATAACCAATTATCATAACAGTCATTAAAACAACGCTCAGTCAACAACCCATTGATAGAACAATAAAACCGTATCCTCATATATCGTCTTGCCAATCCATTTCCAGTCAAAGTGCTGCTTTATGTTTATTGCCCAAAAGCCTGGTCCCAAAACCAAGATTTTAATTTCTTCCTGATTGCCAGGAGGGATGGGGTCGATCGTATTTCATTTGGAAGCGCGTTCCACAGGCGGGGGCTACAACCGAGAAGGCCCTGTTTCTTGTCCCTGCCCACTGCGTTTGCAATATTGGTAGGAGTGAGAGCAGGGTCTCCCCAGATGATCTTAAGGTGGAACGTAGAGGCAGATGCGTTCGGACAAGTAAGCTGGGCCAGAACTGTATAGAGCTTTACAGGTCAAAATCAGCACTTTGACTTGAGCTCGGAAGTGGACCGGCAGCCAGTGGAGCTGACCGTCCACTTCTGAGCTCAATCCATGGTATGGTGGGGTTGCTTTGAGTTTTTCAGGCTGTGTCCAGCAACAATACATGGCATGATGAAATGACTGTCAGCTCTCCATGGTGACGGGAAGTTGAGGAATCGTAGAAGTGGAAGAGATCCCCACAGCCGTGTAGTCCATCCTTCTGTGTGTACAGGAGCTCGGAGCTCAGGCATCCCTGACAGGTGGCACCTGAACCCTTTTTAGAAACCTCCCCTGGAGTGAGTTGTTAAGTCCGACCTCACTGTGACTGCTTTCTGGAAAATGTTATCAACAGAAGTTCATTAGATGTTGCTTTTAAATAGGTGTATATGCCAAGGGTACTTAAGTGACTCTGTTTTCCGGGCCAGTGTCCCATGATATCCAGGAAACTTCACTCGAGATAGAAATCTGCCTCTCGATATAGATATACAGGAAGTAGGATTTCAAAATTGGGCCATTGTGAATGGGAATTGGAAGTGGGAGGGGGGAACGACTCTGATTTCCACCCGTGTTGCTCATTGACTGAATCACCCTTAGTGCCCTTGGGCCACACGCTTCTTTCTAGAGCTCATCCTGATACCTGAATGGAAATTCCCTCAATGCTCCTTTTGTTCCAGTTTGGGCCTTTCCCCCCCCCTCCCCGCTTCCTTCCCCGACACACGTCATGCGGACTCTTTTCGTTCATAATTGATGCTGCCGTAACTTTAGCTGAGCTAACCGCTTTACTCTCATTGTTGTCAGGACCCTGAAGGCCGAAGAGAGAGGCAAAGAGATCCTGCGATCACAGGAAGACTTTCCTCTTCGAGTGGCCAGTCGTCCTCCAGACCCCTCCTTGCATCGGTGGAAGTTGTGCAGTTGGGTCAGCATGGCCGTGGGGCCAGCCTTCGCCATGTGTTTCCTGGCCTCGTTCGTTCTGAGTGTAGACGCCTTCTCGATCAGCAGTTGGTGGAACCTGGTGCCCAGGAAAACAGTGCCCTACAACGGTAAGCAGACCGTGGTCTTTTTCCCAACCGGGGGAGCGAACCTGCATGCTAGTCATGACAACAAGAGCCTGTCATGTATTTAAAGGCATCAGGAAGAAGTCATGAGTGTAGCATTGAGAATGACGGAAACAGACACCTTCTGTTTAAAATAAAGGTTATGTTTCTAGCCCTTAAGGCTCTGACTGTGCTCACACATCTGTCGTCTGTCTTGCAATGCTTCTGCTCTTTCACTTTGGGACACGAAACCCAAGCAATCGTAAATGAAGATGTGCAAGGAAAATCAACAACTAATGCACTCAGGTAGCTTCCTGTTGCTTCCTTCAGCAACGCGTGGAGTGTTTACCTTTTGTGCAGCTAAGCTGTTGCTAAGAGCCGTTCCTGCAGGTCGGCCCTGGGGATGAAAACACAGCATGCTAATGTCAGACATGTAGGTAAATAGGGCAGCAGTGTTGAGTGACACTCGGCTGTGGGGTCCTTCAATGCTACAACGGTTGCAGTGGAGACCATTTGCTATAGGATTGTAATTGGTGAGATATCCACCTATAGTAGGTAGGTTTGGAAGGCTCTCAGCTCTCCTAACTTTAGCACCGGGATTCTAGGAGCGGTAGCCTAACTTTGCCATAGTCTGGCTTGGCAGGAAAGTTGATAAAGATATGAGGACTGTAAAAAGGACCAGCATCCCAAGTGCTATTGGTATGAGTTGGAGGAGAGTTAGGTCAGAGCAAAGCAAAGCAGAGGAAGCAAGAGCTGGAAGTTCAGGTCACAGCCAAGCAACGGTTAAGAAGTTATTTCTTTCAGTCAGCAAAGTAATAATAAATAAATAATAAACTTTATTTGTACTCCGCCACCATCTCCCTAATGGAGACTCAGAGCAGCTTACATGAGGCCAAGCCCAAACAACAATTACAATAAAGAACAACCAAACGCAAACTGAAAACACAAACAATAAACAATAAACAACAGCATCATAATTACATAAAACATATGAATATAAAACAATATAAAATTACAGTAAACACAAACACAGTGACAATGGGCGGGCTACATGTAATGGTTAAAAGAAGAACTAATTAAAACTGGTTAAAAACTTGGGTGAGATAAAAGAGAAACAAATTATTTGTGGAAGAGGGCTCATTATAGTGGGAGTTGGGGAATCAAGCTTTCCCACGAGGGGGCAAACGTATACTCCAGTGACAGAACATTGCACATGAGGGATAATGTGGGATTGAATACCTATTCACCAAAGGCGCAACGGAAGAGCCAGGTTTTGAGATTCTTTTTAAAAGTTTCTAGGGTAGGGGCTTTCCTAATTTCTCTAGGTAGTGAATTCCAGAGTCGGGGAGCCACTGAGGAAAAAGCTCTCTCCCTTGTGCTTACAAGGCAAGCTCATGAGACTGGCAGGGGAGAAAGAAGGTTCTCCCCAGAAGATCGGAGGGCCCGAGATGGTACATGGAGGGAGATATGGTCACAAAGTAGCCTCTATTAGAGAAAAGTACTCTAAACCAAACATGATACGAAAGTTGAGCATCAGCTCATTCTTTACAATGTGATGTGGCTGTAAAGAACTTGGAGCTTTGGAGACGAAGCTGCAGAGTTCAATCTTTTAAAAAATCACAAAAGTTTATTTACAGTAATAAGAAACAACTGCATTTTTAAATAGTCAAGAACTGGGTCTGGGCTACTCTAACTCCCATCTCTTCTAAGGTTTCAAGAGAGCGAAAAATCATCAAGCACTACATCTCTCTGACACACACAAGCAGAGAGAGATCTCAAAGCACACAGCACATACTCTCCATGTAAGAAGGCAGATTCAGAAAGGCTTGCAGTAGAAAAGTACCCATTTTAAACAACCAATGGAAATGAGTGCAGAAACAGAGAGAAGAGACTTGGGCAGCGTGCGGTTGAATCCAACAGCCTCTTCCAGTTTTCTTTTCTTAGGAGGCTGGAGCCAAAGAAAAGTGGGAAGCTCCTTCAGGCCCAGGTCAGCTGCCATTCTGGGGCAGGCCAAGACAAGACTAAAGATAAAGAGTCTGTTGGGAGGCCCTCATTGGTCTCTTTATATTCTACCCTTCCTCCACCTATCCTGAGGAGGTAAAGCGGCTCTCTTCCTACGCACTTTCTCATCACAAGAGTCCAGTGGAGTAGGGAAAGACTAGGGAAAACAAAGGTATGACCGGCCAAACCCTTTCACTGGGTTTCATGGCTCAACGAGGAGCTAAACCTTGGCTCCCACACCACACTAAAATGATCGTTAAGTCTGGGAGATTTGACTTCTCTGTGGAACTTTTACCTTCTACCTTTGACTGTGGCAGAGAATAGTTTACTTCTCTCAACTGAGAAATTTCCATGAAAGACATTGGACTTGGGTCCGGATCAAATTCTGCCGGGAATTCTTGAGGCATTGAGCTAGAACTGTGGTAGGATGAAAATAAGGGATTGAGTGGCAATTCAAATGGCCTTTCCTGCTTGTTGGTGTTTATGTGGCTATCTTTTTTGTGAGGGAAACATGCTCATACTTCACCCTTGCAGCATAAGGAGGAGGAGGAGGCAGGAGGAGCCTTTCTGGGTTGAGCAGGTGCCTGGAGCTCCCATTGGGCTGCAGGCGTACTGGTCCAACCAGAATGTTATCCTCCTGGCTGGTTGTTAAAAGCAGCTATAACTGTCCTGGGCATGCCTGTGCAATAGTGATACGCAGGGTGTGTACCTTGGTGGCTCCGTTTACTAGGTGTTGCTCTGCTCCATAGTGGGAAGGGCTTGGAACGACTCGGTGTGTTTTGTGGGCTACTTTTTTGCAAGATTGCCATCACCTCATACAACAAAATACATATGCCGAAATACTCCACTGTGAAATACCAACACCCATAATCCAGAAAAACAAATCTTCCAAGCTCTGAGTTAGTTTATATCTTCACGTGGATTTTTAGTGATCCAATCTTATCTTGGCCTTTTTTTTCTAAGCCTTGTTTTCTTGGCAAAATGTAGACCAGTGGTTCTCAATGTTCCCAATGCCGTGACCCCGCAATACAATTCCTTATGTTGTGGTGACCCCCAAACATAACAGTATTTGTGTTGCTAATTCATAACTGTAATTTTGCTTCTGTTATGAATTAATAATAATAATAATAATAATAATAATAATAATAATAATAATAAACTTTATTTGTACCCCGCCACCATCTCCCCAATGGGGACTCGGAGTGGCTTACATGGGGCCAGGCCCGAACAACAATTACAATAAAGAAAACCAAAACACAACCGAAAACGCAAACAATAAGCAACATAATAATTACATAAAACATATGAATACATAATGAAATTGTAATGAAAATATCTAGTATGCAGCATGTATTTTCATTCACCAGACAAAATTTGGCACAATCACCTGATACACACATATTTGAATACTGGTGGGGTTGGGCGGAGGTTGATTTTGTCATTTGGGAGTTTTAGTTGCTGGGGTTTATAGTTTACCTACTATCAAAGAGCATTCTGAACTCCACCAGCAATGGAATAGAACCAAACTTAGCACACAGAACTTCCACAATCTACAGAAAATATTGGAAGGTTTGGTGGGCATTGACATTGAGTTTTGGAGTTGTAGTTCACCTACATCCAAAGAGCACGGTGGACTCAAACAATGATGAATCTGGACCAAACTTGGTACGAATATTCAATATGGCCAAATGTGAGCACTGCTGGAGTTTGGGGAAAATAGACCTTTAGTTTTGGGAGTTGTCGTTGCTGGGATTTATAGTTCACCTACAATCAAAAGAGCATTCTGAACTCCGCCAACAATGGGACCAAACTTCCCACCTTCCCATGCCTTGAAGGAACTCACTGCCATGAGCCTCCCTCCAGCCTTGCATGCTCTTCCTCGCCCACACATGTGCACCATGCTGCCATGTGCCAAGCATGCCTGATCTCCCTTCCTGCTTGGAGTCTCTTGGCTGAAAGACCAGCCAATCACAGTGGAAGAGGGCTTTTGGTGAGAGGATTCACCATCTGTTTCCAAATAGGGAGAGAAGGTCAGGCAGAAAGGTGTACAGTCTTCTCTGCCAAAGGGGTTCCTAAGACCATCAGAAATATATGTTTTCTGAAGGTCTTTGGTGACCCCTCGTGACCCCACAGGGGTCCCGATTCCCAGGTTGAGAAACGCTGAAGTAGACTGTAATATCTTTGGTGTATTTTGCTTGTTTGACTCTGTGAGATCCCAAATATGTACATAGTTAATGATAACGATCAATGTTTTGACTTTAAGGCACATGAAGAAAGAAATCGCAACTTGCTTACTTTTTATTTTTTGGGTCATCCTGTCTAAATGTATGTATTTTTGCCTGTTCAAATGGTAACCCTAATTCCAGGGAGCTCTCTGTTTCCAGATAGTTTTCAGTTCATGTTTTTCTGCCTGTTTTGTGGCCTTGGTGACTCCAGGGGCAGGGATGTCAGTGGTGGGAGTGTGACACTTTCCATTTGCGCTGGGCACCCAGGAAAACAAATCAGCGCAGAGGAGGGCTGGGAAATTACCCAGGGTGAAATGGAATGACCTCATGGGTGGGAGTAGCAGGGGCTGGGTGGAAAATAATAGGGTTGTGGGCATGGAGACGTACTTAGGGACTGCTAACAAGCTCTTGATCTGCTGAGGACTTGTCATCCAGAAATGACGGCATGGAAAACAAACCTTTGGAGCACTGGTGCTTGTGGCAAAAGCAGTAATCGTCATCATTCCCAGATGTCGCTTCTGGTTTGAGAGGATTGGCCGTCTGCAAGGACGTTGCCCAGGGGACGCCCGGATGTTTGATGTTTTACTATCCTTGTGGGAGGCTTCTCTCATGTCCCAACATGGGAAGCTGGAGCTGACAGACAGGAGCTCACCCCGCTCCCCGGATTCAAACCTCCAACCTGTCAGTCAGCAGTCCTGCCTGCACAAGGTTCTTCGTTCATCTGGAGAGGCCCTGCTTACAATCCCACTGGCATCGCAAGCACGATTGGTGGGGATGAGG